AGAGAGAGTGTGTGTGTGTGTGTGTCAGTCAGTCCATCTGTCCCAACATAAACCCTTCAAGACCGGAAGACATCTGTTTTCCCTGTACAATAGCTGGTCCTCAATTAGACTTTCTAATTCAAATGAACAACTCCCCCAGTGTTGGCTATGGGTTACACTGTGAGTTTTGAGAAGCCTGGACAACTCTGCCTGGCTTCCCGGGGAAGGGCTCAGTCAAGCTGGTGGGGAGAAGGAGGCCTGGGCTTTCCTTTCCGGAGACTGCTGGTGAGTCAGCCTAGAGGCAAGACAAGTTCTGACATTTCATTTAAAGGAGAAAATAAATCAGCATCGCTCTGAAAACAGCAACCATCCTCTATTGTTCTTTTACAGGGCTGTACCCTCTAAATAGTGGCAGCTCCTTGAACATTTGGGTCCTGGTCAAAGTCTCCAGTGGCCTTCTTATACCCCTCTTCACATCTACTTTGGACTCCTGACCCTCCACCATGCTGTGGGAGAGAAGGAAAATCAAGGACGATAGCAGCATGTGAGAGGTACAGCAAAAGAAAATACAGAGATCCATCTAAGCAACATTTTAATTGGAAAACAGTCAGATATTGTATATTTATACAATACAAATATGCAACCCTAGGTAAGGCCTTCCCTCTCGGGGGGCCTCTCATCTATAAAATGACAGGGTAAATCTTGATGTATCTGCTTCAAGATCCCTTCTAGCTCTGACCCCATATGACTCCATGTACTTCTGGTACAAGCTCCCTGAGAGCTGGGAGAGCATCTTCCTCAAGCCTGCATCCACAGTACCCAGCCCTGCACCCAGCACATGGCATAGACACAGCAGATAGTCAAGATCTGTGGAATGAATGGTATCATCACATGTGCACTACCCCTTGATGCTTGTTCTCAGGAGAACATGAGCAGGCACTCTTAGGCAATAATGTGGACAAACCAATGAACAGGCAGAGATGGGGCTGATTTGATAACAATCAATCCAGAGAGCCCACCGTTTGACAATCTGGGCAACGACTGAGGTGAAGCATGGAGAAATGAAAGCCATGAGAGATGCTACTCCGAAAGAATGTGAGCTGTCCCAGGATCCCGTGTGCTGTGATGCCTTTTCTCCTGTGTGAACCAAAACACAAGTAGGGGATGAATGGAAAGCCCTGTAACAACTCAATGTTCAACTTGTAACCTATAGTAAATGTGAATTTGAAATATGAATCTCATGTGAGTTTCCTTTGCTTGGTTGCATTCTGGAAAGGCATTTCTCTTACTTCTACAGGCACTTCCATTAGAAGGTGGCAGGTACATTCTAGAGGGAGACTTCTCAAACTTTATGTGCTTGCAGATCACCTGGGGGCCTTGTTAAACTCAGATCCTGATTAGTAGGGCCCGGATAGGCCCGAATGCTGCACTTTTGATAAGCACTGGTAAGAGTGCTGCTGGTCAGAGGACCACACTATGAGTACTAAGGCCCTAGGGCTGTGGCTTTCACTCTCAGCTGCATAATGGAATCTCTTGGGGAGCTTTACAAACCACGAGCCCCACCAGCAGAAATTCGGATTTAACTGGCATGAGTGTAGCCTGGGTATCAGGATTTTTTAAAGCTATTATGCAGAAAAGTTTTGTGCCTCTATTTCCCTCTCAGAGATAGGAATAAAAGTGCCTCCCTCTAATTCCTTCAAAAGCAGTGTTTTGAGGACCCCAAAAATAGCATGTTAATGATCTATTCTCTTA